CAGCAACATGTTCAACGCCGATGACACCATCATTAGGCCGCTCGAGGCTCAGGGCATCAAGAGATTGTACCCGCAACACTTTGATCGTCGGCGCGAGTTGAAGAAGCTCAATCACTCGTTGCTCGTCAATTTCCTCGATCTGATAGACCTTCTTGTCCAGTGCCCCGACAGTCCAAGACGCGCGGAGAAAGTAGGCTGTATTTCTTATTCGAAAAAAAAAAACAAACCCTTGTTGTTTTCATTTAGATATAGGATCAAATCCTGAAAAAAGACATAAAATTTATTTATTTTTAAATCGTTTAATATTCGCATTATTTCAACATTATTTTTAATAACGGAAACATTCTTGCGTTGATTTAGTACTTAATGAGTTGATCGATGAAACTGAATCCAAGTATATCCATGACTACCACTTATGCCAGTTTCTACCAATGTGGATTAAATTTTATCTCTGTTCTACTTCTTTCTCCATCTTTTTCTAATTTTTACTAGAAAAAATTAAGAGTTGAACTGAAGTTAAAACTGTCATTGATGGAAACAGGCTTTGTACTTATTTTGATTGTTTACAGCCAAGTATTTTTAGATAAAAATCTTTTAATGAATGCAAAAATTGAATTCTAGAGCAATTAATAATATAGCGTTAAATGTTCAAAGAAAATATATATCTGAGTAAAAATTTTTTACTCTATTTTTTATTCAAAGTTTTTACTTTTTTATAATTTGTATCTCTATTTAAATATTAAGTCTAAAGACACTAGTATCACGAGTTAGAGTTTAACTGCACATAAATTTCCTTAAGGAGTAAAAGCCATATTGATTAATTATAGTGGAAACAGTAATATAAGCAATAGCAAATCCAAAATGTTCATTTGCTTACTACATATGTATTTTTTTTTTCATGTACCGTATCCTTAAGACTTAAACAACATTTTTTATTTGTTACTACTTATTGTCTTACGTTCTTCTTCTTCCCTACTGTAATTGATCGATTTGCTTACAGTTTTAGTTTTGCTGTTTTCTATCTTTTCCTATGTTCTATGGCCTTTATATTCTGTGATGGAACAGCTGACGTTCTTACAGGTCGAGGATCTCAGTCTATTATTCATTCACATTCATCATCTGCTAAATGAATTTCGACCGCATCAAGCCAGGGAAACGTTGCGAGTTATGATGGAACTACAGCGTAGACAACGTCATGAAACAGCGCTGCGTTTCCAGAAACACCTCGAAAAAGTATATATCTTGACTCTTATTCACATTGGATTTTCTCTTCAACTTTTATAGTAATGTTCACGTATAATTTTCACGATTGTAGCTAATGTTAAAATTGTTCCAGGTTCAAGAAATATTGCAGCATGCGTTACAGATGCTTCCCGATACATCGGAATTGGACTCCAAGCTTGCGATAAACACAGACGCTATGGAATCTGTAGACAATTTAGGTTTCGAACAACAAACGCAGGATCCTTGTAGTTCAAGCGATCGTATTATGTGCAAAGTGATAGACGATATGCTTTCCTCGAATGGACTGTTTTGAGTTATCGCTCTTTATTTTTCAATGTGCAAATCAATCTACCAAGGAATATTCTGAAATAATTGTACATAATACACAACAGTAGTATAATGATGTGCTTTTGAAAATGTTATTAGTTATTTAATAAAATGACAATATTTAAAAAAATATGTTCTTTAGATAAAGGACTGCTGGTAATGTAGTGTCTAAAACGTATTTTATATATTGTGCTTACATATTCATCTACAAAAACTACTCTTCAAACAGAGACTTTATTTTAAGAGTTGCTTACAATTAATTCTTTTATACTTTAATAATATATAAGTTTGACAAAATTTTATGTATGTATAACTCACGATATATCACTCGCGTGTATTTTAAATTTAACAAGACTGAGATTACATGTGTGATTACAAAACCTTCCATAATTCTCAATAAATGTCTTGATCAATGCTTTAATCCTTAACAACGCAAAGAAATTTTAAAAATTTGGTCGTAAAAAGTTAACATTTTTTTAATACCAGATTCATCTTCTGGTGATAATCAGATGTCCAAATACCATTTCAGTCAAGAAGATAAAATCTAAACAAATTAAATAATAATGAAATGTGGAATGCAACAAATGAATAAAAACTGTAGGAAAAACCTACAAAAACTGTTAATATTGTATTAAAAAGTATTTTATTTTTTGTCAATTATGGAAAATTTTATCTCGACTGGTTTGACCCTTTGTTACATTATTCTATGACATTTTTTAATGTATATAACGCTTTATTCTCTGTAATAACACATAAGTTGGATTTGTTTCTAGGTAGATTAAAAAAAAAAGGACTCCGTTAAGTCGAAACGTAAATCGATTATGTAAATTCAAAATATATCCTTGTTTTTGCTTGTTTTTTCGGTCAGCGTTTTATTTTCATTGTTTATTAAATATAATTTACTTGCCTGTTTTAGAATCAATTAATTCATCTTATTAAATCGATCACTTTCTTTTTATCATTTTCTCACTTTTTGTATTTATTGGGTAAAAGAACACCACATAGTATTAAATAATATTATTTATTGAAATAATCAAAAACACATTCACAAATTTTGTATAGATAACATATGTTTTTCTATATGATAATGATGGATAGAAGGAAAGGAAAGAGATGGAACAATACCTTTTAAACTCACCTCACAAACAGCAATCACATGAGAGAAGGAGATATATTTTATATATACATATAATAATAAACATATATCCACCGCAACTCCTGGAAGAAAAATATTAATTAGTTTCTCCAAGTAGCCTCTGCTTCTGCATTCATTTCCGAAAGATTTCTGTAATGGAAAAAAGTGTGTGTATATATAAAATATTTATATGCGCCGAGGTACAGTCCTCCCAATTTCCAAGTCTTTCGTTAATATATGCTTCCTGCAAAAAAAAAAACAGTATAATAGTTGCTTCTTCATTGCTCTTTGTCTTATTTATCGAAAAAACACAGATTATGAACCATTCTTCTCATAATCGAATATATATCTTATGTTAAAAATACGTACTTTAAAGATTATATAATCTTAAATAATATAGACATTTAAAAAAAAATTTCGAAGAAGCGCGATATGTGTATTTGTTAACTTTTTACATACTTGTGCAAATTAAATAAAACAGAAGAATCCTAAATTTTATACACATATATATATGTATATAATTTGAAATCTATTTAATTTGCACAAGTATATATCAAGTTTAACAAATAATGTCATTTATTGTACGCACGTATACGCAATATTTCTCTTATTGATAGAAAATTATTTATCTGGTGTTTCTTCGATAAAACAGCTGTCATGCATTGCTGATTTCGAATTCTCTGTTATACACAGTTCGATCCTGTCAACAGATAAACATTAACAAATATATCAATAAATATTTGGAAAGGGAGGGGAGGAAGCTAATTTAGGAATGGCTACAGGAGATTATATTTTTATAATCTTAAAATTTTTTTACAAGGAAGGAACTATTTCTATTTCCATAACCGTGATCGATGTATTCATGTCCCGTATCTCAATTGCGTGGTTTTAAATTTGAATTTGATAACGTGGCATTTTCATTTTTGTATATGTATCTTCGTCGAACTTTCTTCAATTTCTTTAAATGATATCATTTTGATTTTGTGTCCACGAGAAATATCGTTTTCCTTCCTTCTTTTTTTTTCACATATATGTAGTTCCTTCATGAAATCCGCCAATCAATATTTTTTCTTGACCTGCTTAATATATTCATATGTGCTGTATGTTCAGGGAATGGAAGTAACTCGTTATTTGTAACGAGTTACAGTTGCAAGTTATTTTTTTTTTTCATAACTGTAACGATAACGTAGTTACAATTTTTTGGTAACGGTAACGAATTTTACAGTTACTTTTATCGTTACTTTTTGTATTTTGAACCCAATATATAATTATGATATAATTTTCGTTTATTCAATTTTCAGTCTTTATAGATAGTATTCATAATTTGTTATGATTTTAAGATCGTTTTAATGTCTTACGATGTTTTAATATCTTATCTTCGTGGTAAATATTTATTTTTTATTATTAAATTTAATAACTTATCTTAAAAAAGAGAAATATTAATCTGAGCTTGATCTTTGTGCGTAATATGTTAGAATAAATTTGTATATACATCAAATTCTCTAAACTGCGCGTCAAATAAATATTTTGTCTTGAAACGTAATTCCTAATTAAAACTGGAATAGTAATATGACAAATTAAATTTACAAGTAACTTAATTATATATTTACGTAAATAAGCATGTTAAAGCATTATGAAAAATTTATTGTGAAAAATATCACTCGAATAGCGTTTTAAGATTGAAAATTTAATTGGTATGTGTGTGTGTGTGTGTGTGTGTGTAGATTGCAGAATTGGATATATATTGTACTCAAATATTAAGACTCTCTCGTGACGATATAAGTGGGATATTACATACAATAAATTACTACATTAAGCTTCATCCTTTTAGTTTTTACTTAAAAACAATAATTTCATAATCCTGAAAATTGTAAAATATGTAGCAAACCGAAATATCTGTCTGATATCTATATCATATAGAAGTATAAAGTAATTCCTGAAATACTTAGTTACCAAAAACTGCTGCAGCGCTCCTGCAACGATTTTTGACAGCTGAGAAATATACCATTATTTCAGGAATTATTTTACATCTTTACCCGATATATCGGGCAGATATCTCAGTTTGCCGCATTTACATATTTCAGAATTATGAAATTGTTTTTAAGAAAAAACTAAAAAATAAAGCTAGTGTCATTGTTGTATATTGCTTTTATCAACATTTAAACAAAATATATTGCAAAAGTATTTTTTTTAGACTAGTTGTATCTTAATACTTATTTTAGAATGATTTTAAGAAAATAACGAAGTAACGAATAGTTACGTTTTAAGTAACGACAATCGTAACAAATTACTTTTAAAAATCAGTAATAACGATAACTTTCTTGACTCGGTAACGAGTAACTGTAACTTGTTACTTTAATATAATAACTTTCCATTCCCTGCGTGTTATCTGCGTATATATTCATTCTCTCCATAATTTTATATAATAATAAATGTCTAAAATATTTCGGATTTTCATTGCAACTCATATTACAATTAAACAAAAATATTCATATAATGCTACAATTGCATTCTCCAAATCTTCTTCCCGTATTATAATGCTTGGGAAATTATTGATTTTCTGATTCCCCCTGTTCTGGGAATTTATCAAAGTCTTCAAACTATCACTTCTGTCATATGTAACGGTAAAGATGAACAAAAATAATTTTGTGATAACTTCTTTGAAAGCGCGCTTTGTTGATTTCAGAAAGCGAATAGGCGCTTAATATTGTTACTCTAATTTTAGCCGTTTCCAGTTGTAAGGAATTTTATAGTTAATAAAAATTCTTTCGCCATGAGCCACGACCTCTCGTTCTGAATCCACCTCTTCCTCTAGGTCTGTTACCTTTAAATCTACCACGACCTAAAAACGGTAAGTAAAAAATTAATGATAATATAATAAACTAAAATTTCTTTCTTTCAAATTTCAATACATTTGCCCACTCACCGTAATTTGATATGGTTGAACTGTATTTGCCACTGGGAGGCGTATATATTTCTCTTTTGCTGTTCTTATCTTCCTTACTACGTTTGTTCGGACTATTATCATTTCCAAATGTGATTGGTGTATGTCTTTTTTGGGCAGAATTTTTATCGCTCTAAAACATACACAAAATTAATAAAATCAAAGTACTGCAAGTCAAAGCACTCATGAATGTAACATTATAGTTGTCATTATTTACAAAACAATTTGTTATAATCATATTGAAAATAATAACCTTTTTGTCGTTACAAGGTGTTTTCCACGAGAGATGTATTATACTTTTAAAACTAGGAGGTGAATGAAACAGATCTTTGATTAAAGTATTGATATTGTTGGTTGTTTTCAATGCCACAACTTTTAATTGATTTTCTTCAGATTTCAGTTCTTCTTCTGTTTTTCCGCTAATAGCTTCACGTAATTTCTTTATATAACCTTGAATACCTCTTGCAAAATATTGTAATCTTAACCGAAATTCTTTGAGCTGCTCTGCATCCTTTATCAAAAATTCAGGAGTTTGTTTACACAACTTGTGAAAGGCGTACATTAAACATTCCACATGACTAAATTGTAACTTTGGTACATCTGTAATTTCTGTAGCTGGAGGAAGTGGCATATAGGTCTAAAATAAATAAAATGAACAATAAGCAACGATTTTGATATTTGATAAAATTTGATAATTTTTATCAACAAAATATGAACATTAGATATTACGATACACACAAAAATATGTTGTCAAAATATATGTATGTATAAATAAAAATATAATACTTACAATAAGAGTATTGTAAAGCTGTTGAACCTTATCTTCTGGTTTTTCAATAGTTCCACAAAACACAGTTAATTCAGCAAGCAATTTTAACAGTTCCAATTGAATATCTCTACCATCGGGAGAAGTCATCAAAGACAAATGCGGTAGAACTTGTACACAAATGTATGAAACAAATTTTGATGAATCTATTTGCGACTGAAAAGGGATAAGAATATTGAAATATAGATAAAATATTAAATATT